CGTTTTCTAAAATCCAATTTACGTTTTCTAAAATCCAATTTTCGTTTTCTTAAATCCAGTTAACTATTCTAAAATCCAATTTACGCTTTCTAAAATCCAGTAGACTATTCTAAAATCCAATTTACGCTTTCTAAAGTCCAGTTGAGTATTCTAAAAGCCAATTTACGCTTTCTAAAATCCAGTTGACTTTTCTAAAATCCAATTGACTCTTTCTAACATCCAATTGACTCTTTCTAAAATCCAACTGGAAATGGTGTAGGCTCACTGAGCTTTAATGCGGCATTCGCTGCATACGGCTGCGAATGACTCATTGGCGCCGAGCCGTTGAAGAACTTTTAGCAATAAACGTGCACGGAATAGTTCCGATACTAGCAAATCAATATTCTTATTAAGTCTCATAAAAAATTTTTTGTCGTTTAAAGAATAAAGGGAATGCCGCATTAAATTAAAGCCAACTTCCCAACGTAAGCTACTATTCCATAAGACACAGATATACATTAAATAACTAGCTACTGTTATACCTGTTTTTGTATTAATTGCTTTGCAAGCAACAAAAACAAAGTCCACCCTGCACCGCTGAATCTAAAGTATTTTTGAAAGGAAATTTCGAACCTAGTTTGCATTTTTAAATTTTTCGGTGACACCTAAATATGTATGTGCATTCGGCAAAATTTTTTTAAAATAGTTCTACTGGAAAATAAAAAAACTAAGAAAAAGTTTAATGATTTTTGGTGAGCTTTAATTTACTGGTATTAGCGTGATAAGAAATCAGATCTGGTGGGTAAGTAATGGAACGAAGTACTTGAAGTCAATGAACTTTGGAACAAAAAAATTATATCTTCGCAACAAAAACATGGACATATCATAATTTGAAATCCGACTTTAAACGCCGAAAAAAGGCGTCGAATCGAAATAATTTTTTAGCAAAAGTTTGTTGAATTTTTCCGATGTTGAATTTACTGACATTAGGGTGATATTGGGATCTGGTGGGTAAATACTAGAACGGACTACTTAAAGTCAATGAACTTTGGAAGAAAAAGAAATATAACGGAAAAACAAAAAAAAAGCGAATCTGCCTTGCAAAAATTCTATAGACTATAGGACTGCAAAGCAAACTTTTTCTCCTGTTACGGTATAACGTATGCATTTATCTTTGAGTCAACCATTATCGATATTTAACGAAATTTGAATTGAGATTTCTATTTTTATTTATTATGCATTAAAAATTTTAGTATTTTTTATATGATTTGTAATGCAAGAGTTTACGTCTGCTGTTTGGTAATTTAGACGGGAAGACATAAGCCGATACCTTTTTCAATTTTATTCTAACTTACAGCTATGGCAATGTGAAATTATACAATATTACTATACATCAGGCATCCGCAAATATTTAAAGAGTTAGCTCCCGTACACGTGCTATACCGGTTGAACAGATACAGCAATTATTTCATAAACTTGGTTACCCTGAACTTCAACATTAACAGACTCTCTTTGAACCTATTTTTGTTTGGGCAACTAAATCATTAAAATCATAAGTTAAACATGTGGCGCTGATAACTACGAATGCCGCATGGTCTGCCTTTGTTAAAAACTACTGCTAAATACATACATATGTATGCATGTATTCATATA